ATGGCCGAATGAAAAGGCGTCCCGCACGGAAAGTGGGGAGGTTCCAGGTTCAAGTCCTGGCGGAGGCAGTTTTTTCGCAACATATATAAAAAAAAAGGAATCTATTTGAGTCTTCGGTTCAATGGGAATTTGGGATTTTAATTAAAATATATATTTAAAAATTTGGGACTCAAGGATCGGTCTAAGTATGGAAGGTTGATTCTCCGCGTACGTTAGTCGAAGAGAAAATTTCGATACGTGCTGACATACTAGACATTTTAATCCTCCCACAACTCTTATAGAAATATCATACTAAGAAATACTGAAAAATTATTAGTGATTAAATATTACCAGTAATTCAGTAATTTTTTGGCCAGTACTTAATTTTTTGTGAATACTGATAATAAAATCACTGTTAAATATTGATAGTAATCAAATACTGAGAATTATTATGTGAAAGTGAAACATGAGAAAAATCATAATGTTTACAAAAATATACTTATATTTTTAATTTTCTCATGTTTCATAAACTATTAGATATCGAAGGTTGTCAACACATTCCAAACTTTCATGAATTTTCCTGCAATAATTTCGATCCCAAGCGGATATACCGCTGGCCACCATCCATGTCCTGACCGCATTAAACTGTTGCTTAACCTGACGATCGGCACGCACGCGGTGACTCTGAAGACTCCAACGATGTTCTTACAATTCATGCTTATATAATGTATCCTTATAGTGTTCACAGTATATTATAACATACCTAGCAAACACCAAATAATAGTTATATAATTTTTACTTGTTGTTTATTGGATAATTTGTTGATAGATATTGAAACAATACAACATTCGATATGCAATGAATATTGATGTAATGTAGTGAACCAGTGATAATTACTTTTACATTTTTAACAAAATGTTATGATTGATCCAGCAAATAAAATTAAAAAATCCAAGAAAATCCAAATTAAACAAATCGAATTATTAAATTTTGAGAGAAACTTTTAAAAAATATTATTTAAACCAATAGTGTTGTTTCATCAAATGACATGGTTTTCTTGAACAAAGGCGGGAGAGGATGGGGTCAGGGTGGGCCGCCCCTCCAAAAAAGCGGAGGTCCGCCTTCATAATCTTGAGGACTCTGTCACGGTCGCGGATATAGCGGCGGCCGTGGAAGACGCCTCGGGCGGGGATCCCTCCGACATCAGGGTAGGGGGGATAAAGAGAGCCCCCAATGGTTTGGGAACCGCCTGGGTGCGGTGTCCCGCCGCAGTGGCCAGAAAGGTCGCGGAGGCGGGCCGCATCCTGGTCGGCTGGGGGATGGCCCGGGTAGAGGTGTTGGCGGCGAGGCCCCTGCAGTGCTTCCGCTGCTTGGAAGAGGGGCATGTCCGCCAGCACTGCCGCAGCGACGTCGATAGGTCCGGCGTCTGTTACCGCTGCGGCGGCCCGGGTCATCGGGCCGCCGAGTGCACCGGGCGTGTTGTGTGTCCGGTGTGCTCCACGGCCGGCAGAGAGGCGACCCATCGTTTGGGTGGGGAGGCGTGTATCGCTTCTCAAAAGAAGAAGGGGAAGGGGAAGAAAGGGGCGGGGAAAGCCCGAGCCTCGCCTCCCTCCCACTCCCCACAGGTAGGCGGCCTGCAGCAACCGGCATCCCAAAAGCCGGTTGCGGGGCCCTCTGGGGCGGGCCAAGTAGTCCCTCCCCCGAAAGAGAGGAGGGACACCAAAAGATCCAGGAGAGAGGAAGCTGGCCCATCTGCACCTGAGGACCCAATAGTCCTCACCGAGGTGCAGATGGAGGAGACTCGCCCGCTGACGGTGGGCGGAGAGACATCGGGGGGGGGGAGCGGAATTAGCCCCCGTGCTTATGGAGGTGGCTGGCCTGGGGGAAGTGAACACGGCACCAAATAAAAATGGCGTCTAAACTCCTCCAGGCCAACCTAGGCCATACGAGGATTGCCCAGGACCTGTTCCTCCACTCGCTCGCTGAGCGGGGGGCAGGCCTGGGCGTGGCGTCCGAGCCCTACCGGATCCCGGCCGACGATACTCGGTGGTTCGGGGTCCCGGGGGGCTCGGTCGCAGCCTATTGGAGGAGCTGCCAGGAATCTCCCCGGCCGACGCTCATAGAGGCCGAGGAGTTCCTGGTGGCGGTAAAATGGGGGGCCCTAGTAGTGGTCGCCCTTTACGCTCCCCCAAGGTGGACGGGGACCGACTACGAGGAGCATCTTGACAGGGTGGCGGGGGTCATTAGACGGTGTGCCCCCCACCCTGTGGTGGTGGCCGGGGACTTCAACGCCAAATCTGGCGCGTGGGGTTCCCCGGTCACCAATCATCGTGGTCGGCTCACCGAGGCCTGGGCGGCGTCGACCGGCCTTCATCTTCTCAATGAAGGCTCGGTGAGCACCTGCGTGCGCCCGCAGGGCGATCTATCATTGACCTCACATGGGTCAATGGCCCTGCGGTGCGCGCAATGGGGGGTTGGAGGGTGGCGGAGGGGATCGACACTGGTTCCGATCATCTGTACATAGAGGTGATCCTCTCCGCCATCTCCCCCGAGGTGCTCCGGCGCCGCCGGGAAAGGGAGCGCGGGCGGCCCGGCAAATGGGCCCTCCGTAAAATGGACGAAGACGCCCTCAAGGCGTCCATGGCCGCGGCGGAGTGGGCTCGGGGAGACGATCCTCCTCGACCCATTCTGTCCCCGGACGATGTGGAGGAGGAGGCGGAAGAACTCGGGGCAGATATGGAGAGGGCGTGCGACGCCTCCATGCCCCGAGTTCGCCCCACGCCCTTCAGGTCCGCGTACTGGTGGACGGAGGAGATAGCCGAACTTAGGCGCTCCTCCGTCCAGGCCAGAAGACACATGCAGCGGACCACAAGGGCGGGGAACGTCGCCGAGGCGGCGAGAGCGCGCAGGGCTTTCCGGGCCGCACGGAAAGCCCTGCGCGTAGCTATTGTGAAGGCCAAGGCCAGGTCCTGGGAGGATATGCTCAAGTCCCTGGACAAGGACCCTTGGGGGCGCCCGTATAGAATAATCTTGCAAAGATTGCGACCTTGGGCGCCCCCGGTGACTGAAAGTCTCGAACCCCCACTCCTCGACAATGTGGTGGGGGCTCTCTTCCCGGAGGAGGGGCCGCCGCCCCTTCCGTACGAGGGTCCCCCGCCGGACTGGAACGAGAAGTGGGAGGTGTCCGGGGACGAGCTGACCCGGGCGGCCCGCCGGATCGGTGGGGCGAAAAAAGCCCCTGGACCGGACGGGGTCCCGGGTCGAGCATGGGCCCTGGTCTTGGCCGATGTAAGGGCCCGCCTGAGGCACATCTTCACCGGGTGCCTCAGGACGGGTACTTTCCCCAGTCGGTGGAAAAGGGCGGGGCTGGTCCTCATACCCAAGGTGGGCCGGCCCCTGGACGCCCCTTCCGCGTATAGGCCAATTTGCCTATTGGACGAGGTGGGTAAATTTTTCGAAAGGATCGTGGTGGCCCGCCTCGTCCGGCACCTCTCCCAAGAGGGCCCGGACCTGAGCGACGCTCAGTATGGCTTCCGCGTTGGTCGCTCCACGGTGGACGCCATTCTCCGTGTGAGGGCCTTCGCGGAGGCCGAGACGGAGGAGGGGAGGGTAGTTGCGGCAGTCTCGTTAGATATAACAAATGCCTTCAACTCCCTCTCCTGGGACCGGGTAGAGGAGGCGATGCGATATCACCGCTTGCCTCTCTACCTGGTCCATATTGTCCGAGCCTATTTTCGGGAGAGGACTCTGGGGTTCGTCGACCGAGACGGACTCCAGCGCGGAAGGGGCATGCGGTGCGGGGTCCCGCAGGGGTCTGTCTTGGGGCCCCTGTTGTGGGACCTCGCATACGACCGCGTGCTTAGGATAGCCCTTCCCCTGGGCAGCACAGTCGTCTGCTATGCGGACGACACGCTAGTGCTGTCCGGGGGCGCCGACTGGGGGGAAGCGACGGCCCAAGCCAACGTGGCCGTCGAATGCGTCGTACGCTCTATTCGGGCGCTGGGCCTGAGGGTGGCTCCCAACAAGACCGAAGCGTTGTTCCTGCACGCTCGGTCCGAGGGGCCGCCCCCACAGGCCCATATCATGGTGGAAGACACCAGCGTTGTGGTGGGGCCCGCGCTGAAGTACTTGGGCCTCACCCTGGATGGCACTTGGGGCTTTGTCGAACACTTTAGTCGACTCAGCCCCAAGCTGGGCAGGATGGCGGGCGCGCTTGCCTGTCTCCTGCCCAACCTCGGTGGTCCAAAGACAATGGTGAGGCGGCTGTATGCCAACACGGTCCACTCAATGGCCCTTTACGGGGCCCCTGTGTGGGCGGGTGAGATGGGGGCCAGTCGTCGCATACGGGCGCTAGTTAATAGCGCCCAGCGCGTCATGGCCAACCGTCTCACCCGCGCGTATCGGACCGTGTCGCATGCAGCCGCTACGGTCCTGGCCGGCATGATCCCAGCGGACCTCCTTGCTAGGGTGTACGCTGACACGTACACCCGCCTAAGGAGGCTCCGCGATGAGGGTGAACCTCTGTTGGCCGGGACCATAGGACGGATCCAAGCCCTGGCCCGGCGCAAGGCCCTCCGACGCTGGAAAATGCAACTCGGGGGGCCCAACGTGCCGGGCAGGCGGACCATCGAGGCCATCCGCCCCTGTCTCCTCGAATGGGTGGACAGGGACCATGGCGGGTTGAGCTTCCACCTGACACAGGTGCTCACCGGGCACGGCTGCTTCGGTGAGTACCTGTGTCGCATAGGTAAAGAGCGTACGACGCATTGCCACCACTGTGCGGCCGATCGGGACACCGCGCAGCACACCCTGGCCGAATGCCAGGCGTGGGCTGCCGATCGCGGTGTCCTGATCGCAGTGGTTGGCGGCGACCTCTCGCTCCCGGCCGTAGTCAAAGCTATGGTCGGGAGCAAAGAGGCCTGGGAGGCGGTGGTCTCCTTCTATTCCTTTGTAATGGGGCGGAAGGAGGCCGCCGAAAGAGTTAGGAGGGGGAAGGCGGAGGTAGTACCGCTCCCCCCTCCACCTCCTCTTCGGAGGAGGAAGAGGAGGACGTGGCGCCGAGGAGGAGGCGTGCTAGGCGGGGCCGTAGTTGGCGTCCCCGCCCCCTCCCGCCCACCTCAGATACAGAGTCCCTGAGGGGAACCCCAACTAAGTGGTTCCCCTCCCACCTAGGAAAATACGCCCTCATTGGCGGGTGGCCATGGAAGGGGAGGACATCTCCCCCTCTCAACTCGGCCGCCCGCCGCAATGATGGGCCAATCCGGATCAACTCCGGAAGCAGGAATGAAGTCCACCCACCCACGGAGGGGCGGGCGGGGACGCTCGGATCGCGTTCTCCGATCTCGGAGGCGCGTCCTGGGGCGTCCCCTCATCCGCCTCTCAATGGGTGATAGAGTGGGCTCCGGGGGGGGTCGGCGGTAGGCGGGGATACCTACCGTCGGCAACCCCAAACCCCCCCAGAACCAACGGGAGGGGGTGCGGCGAGAGGTCGTGTGTCCGCCTCTCGCCGCGCAAATGCCGAGGACGGCTCTAATGGTGAGTGGGAGGTTGCGGGTACGTAACCCGCCCCTCCCCTCACCGAGTAAGGAGCGCATCTGCGCTAGCGCAGGGCGGCCCCCCGAAGAATACCGAAAGGTGATGCCAGGGGGTCGCCCAACTCGCGCGGGGAAGGACACACTCAGGGGTTTTTAGTGGGTATACCTCCTCCTCTCCTGTAGAGAGGGGGAGGGGAGTCCCACATACCCCCGAAGACCTCCCCGGGTTTCTCCGGGGGATGCGTAATGCATTTTCCCCTAAGTTATAAAAAAAAAAGAAAAAATGGTTTTCTTGAACAAAATAAAAGTTTTATTTTCATCATTTTAAAATATGATATTTCGTTTAAGAATATATTTTAATAAAATAAAAAAAACCACAAAATTGGACAAGTACGAATATTAAATCTAAAGAAAGTATTTTCTCCGAAAAAACGGTATAAGAAGTATAAAAAATATACAATAAGACAAATTAATGATTGCCACTAACGAGTGCTATTTTAAGTACTATTCTATAAGTATTATTGATATTGTAACTATGCACACCTGCATCGTCACTACTCCGGCCCGACTGACAATCAGTCGGGCCGTACACCGGCGCGTTGCGCCAACATAAACGCCGTAAGTTCTAATAGACAAAACGCGTAAACAGCTGACAATAAGCGTACACAAAGCAAGCGAGGAACACGCGATAACCCCAGCACAGCGTCACACAAAAGAAACGATAGAGAGCGAGCGCCGCTGGCACGCGACATGCATGTGTACAGCGAGCGAAGACAAAGCGGCGTCAAGTATATAATCCGATACGCCAAATTAATCGGGACCAGACCGATCCGGACCGTCAACCGAACTCGATGCTACACAGCGGAGAGCAAGGCCTACGACCGACTCGTATCTGCTTCCTCAACCTGCCAAATATCACATCCTCGCAAACAAGGACCGAAGCCAGTACGTTAGCTGCGCTCTGTCGATCTTTATCGACTCTTGTTTGCATCCCGTAGACTCCCCGAACAAGGACCGAAGCCAGTAAGTTAGCTGCGCTCTGTCGAGCTTTCTCGACCCTTGTTCTCAGCCTTTCGACGAGCGAGATCGGGGGTGAATACGCCGATACATCGGCTACTCACTCCTCATTCCGTCTCTTACGACGCGGACGTGCGAACGAGCACGTCTCCGCCAAGATCGCGAAAACAGCGTGCCGTGCTGGGACACGGAGTCGATACCGCCGACACCGCGCGGTCCCCTCTACCAACCTCGCGAATCGCGCACGAATCGCGACCACCGAATCGAGACACACGACCGCCTGCCGAATCTCCGCGGCGAGCCTAGCCTTCGCGCTATACGCTCCGCCTACCGACTTACCTGCCGCGGCCTACCGAAACCGCGACCCGGTAACTGGC